TGATATTCTGGGGTGGGTTTTGGGAGGGGGGGGGGTACCTTATATTTATATGTATATGTATTCATATACACACTTGTGCTCTCATGATGTCGCATTCCCGGGGTTGGGTGTCGGTTGAGGATTTCGAGAGCGAGTTGCTCGGGATTCTGTTCATCCCCAAAAATACGAGCACCCGGCAGTCAGAATTCTGATCCAAACCTAACAGTCGTCGCCGTGATGTTGTTATTTTTGTGGTTGTTATACTGGTATGTATGTATATATGTATATATATATATATACACACACACACACACATATATATATATATATATATATTGTTAACAGTATGGTCAGCCCGGCAATCAGGGCCAGAGTGCTGCAGCCTGGTCCTCCTCCAGTGCCGCAGCTCTGCCCCTCGCAGCGCAGGCAGCACAGGCGACGCTGTCAGGGAGTTGATATGGGTAGTTCTCTAAATTAGGGGTACCTTATTTTGAGGCCCTTATAATAAGGATCCTACGATTTAGGGTGCTATATTAGGGTCCCCTAATTTCGGAAACTCCCATTTAAGCAATAGAGTCATTAGAACAAATTCGAACCGAAGTTCGAATGGGTGGATGAGCTCTATGCTGACGCTTTTGCGTTTATAGTGTAGGAAACTACTCGCGATGCCGATGCCCTCCGAGATGCAGATCGGAGCTTCTGGCCTAGTGCGGCAGTGCCTGACAGGGCTTGGTGAAGAAAGGCAGACAGCCTTCCATGAGGCTTAGGATGTGCACTATGACTGCCATCACTGCGCCGGGCCTGATGACAAAAGGGGCTTGAATACTTAGGAATAATGTTCCCGTGTAGTTCCCATATTCTCTGTCACCAACACGCTCGTCTAATTGCTGACCCCTCTGTGAACCCTCATGGTTTGGGCGTCTGCAGGTTTAGAGATGTTCCTATACTTCGAGTCAAACGTGCCTTGCGCTACTGTGTGTTTGAGTGGGTGCGGGCGGGTGTGTGCAGGAGAGCTGTAGGATAAGCAAAGTTGGGTTTCCGGTTTCCTCCACTGCTTGCGACAATTACCTTACACCTAACGAAACAGCCTTGCATCTAGGAGCTAGGGTTATCGGGTTAAAGTTTACCATTTGAGCCTGGAGTCCCCATTGCAAGGCGGCTCAGCTGCATGGCGCTGCTGCTGCGCACGCCGCGGTGGTCTCGGTGTCGTAATGGCCGCTTGCAGGGCTTTCCAGAATGGTCTGTAATATTAATCATCATCATCATATACTGCACACATGGCCGCAATAATACTGTAATAGTAATAACAAATTATAGAAATTGTCATAACAATAATAGGAATAAGCTATTAGTAGTAGTCGTGGTCGTCGCCGTCGTCGTAGTCGTAGGCGTAGTCGTAGGAGTAGGAGTAGGAGTAGGAGTAGGAGTAGGAGTAGTAGTAGTCGTCGTCGTCGTCGTAATCGTAGTCGTGGTGGTGGTAGTAGTAGTAGCAGCAGCAGCAGCAGCAGCAGCAGCAGCAGCAGTAGTAGTAGTAGTAGTAGTGGAAGTTGTAGTAGTACTAGCAGTAGTTGATAACAAGAATGCTAATGAAGGCGCTGAGGGGATGACTGCAGAAGGTGGGATTTCGAGTTACAGGAAGCTAGGTAGCAGTGTCATTTCAGGTTCTGCAAGCTCACATGATGCCTCTATGGCAGCTCCATGCTTTGACACTTTCTGGGGTTTGTTTTGTGTCCGGCGTTGTGGCAGAGCTACAGCAGCTGAACTCTCATGTAGGTGGATTCTCTAAATCTCGGTTGATCAGAGACACAGAAGCCTCGTTTAGATAACTACCCCGTGGTCTGGGCTGGGAAGCCCCGAAATGAAGTTCTGTGTTTCTATTGCAACTGCACGGCTTTTGGTTTCGTCATGCTCGTCGGGCAGCTGGTTTGCCCTTAAAACAATCGCAAAAGTTATTTGATCATCGTCCTCGGGCGACAGCTATGCAAGCTATTCTCTCTACTGTCACGATACTACCATGAACCTCGCCAGCTGCTCACCAGCTGCAGATGTGCCTGAACACGGAAGGGCCTCTCCCATCAGCTCGACAGGCAGAATCAGTAGGAGAAGCAAGATGTACCTGAACCTTGAACTGCGGCACTCCTGTTTGGATAGCATTTTTTTCCGGTTAGGGTCCCGTAGTAACATGCAGGGAAGCAAGAAAAGAAGCTGTGCTTGACGCTTGAGGGCCCAGGTAGCCCACCACCAATCCAAGCCTTACAATTGCAAACCCGCCCCTACAGCCTAAAGTCTCAAAAGACCCAAAACCCAAAGCCATGCGCAAGTAAACACCTTGAGGGAAGCCTGATCAAATCAAATGCCTACGAGCCCACGCAAGCCGTATACAGACTCATCTAACTTATAATCCCTTTAAAGCCCCATCTGAAGGCTCCCTAAACGCCACCCTTCCTGTTTCTAACGATGTCGTCCAATGCTGCGCTCGCCGCTTCTGGGGCTTCTCGCCGCCGTAGGTGCGGCCGCCGCGGGTTCCCCGGCCCTGGTTGAAAATCATTGGGCCTAGTAGGGTTCAGGGTTTAGGGTGTAGTAATAGGGTTTAGGGTTTAGGGTGTAGTAATTCAGATGGGTTGTAGGTTGTGCAGGGTGTAGGGTTCGTGATGGGCGGAGCCTGGATTCAAACCTGGTGCGTCTCATTACCGACATAAGTCGAACTGCCTTTCTGCACCCTTCGCACCGAGTCGAGCCCAGTTCCAATAAGGCGTGTGGGTTTCAGAAAATAGGGGCTGGGCGGGGGGGGTGCTATATATATATGCGACAAGGAACCTACTAGTTGGGTTTTACAATAGGGTCTGTATCTTTCTAAATATTTGCATAGTGTATATTCTGAAAGAAGAGTTGAGTACGATATAGTCTTAAGAAAAGGTTCTGGTACAGTAAATTCCTAACAATGCAATTGAGTATACGGTTGCAGTACAATCTCATGAAGGAGCAGGAAGCAAACATTCTGTGTGTCTATATATATATATATATATATATATATATTTGAGTCGCAAACACAGAACAGCCCAGGCTCTGCCATCGGAGCTATCGCGGCCTGGCGGCAATTTGTAAAGAGTCAAAATTGCCAGGCTTGTCCGAGTGTGGGTGTCAAAGAGAGTCAAAACACGTCTAAACCAAGCGGAGAAACCTCAAACCCTAAACCAGGAGCCCGGACACTTATTGCCCTGCCTGCTTTCGTGCCTGCTTTGTGCAAGAGTGAGAGTCGAAACCCCAAAGACACCCAAATGGGTTCCCTCGGATACCAAAAGAGATCGGCCTAGCCGTAAGGCTGGAGGAAAAAGGTCCCGTAAAAGAAATAGCCACAAAAATCCTATATAAACCCCGGCCAAGCCCTAAAGGGCATGGCTTTTCCGAGTTCCAAGGTCCGGGCTTTGTGGTTTTCGGGTTCAGGGTCGAGGGCTTTGAGGCTTGTAGGGCTGAGGGTTTTTGGGGGGTTCATCAGACATGACGTGAGGTCATGGAATTCGGGGTTACGTTTCAGGGCTTGAGGTTTTCGTGCTTAGGGCTTCAGGTGTCTTGAGGGATGACGGCTTCGTGCCTTTTGATGTCTGGGGGGTGGGGTTTACAAGAATCAGGGTTTTGGGCTTTGCAGGGCTTCGAGGTCTGGAGTTTCATGTTGAGTCTATAGGTTTTCTGAAAGTTTAGAGCATTGTTAGACACCGCCGAGTTTCAAGCGTGTGGAGGAGGTGGAGCTTTGTTTCTGACACTTCGCGGGTTTTGGGGTTCCGATGATTCTGCAGCGGTGCATCAAGCTTACCAAGGGTCTCACTGGCACGGAAAGGCACACTGGCACGGGAAGGCACATTGTGTGTGAGAGAACGAATCAGAGTCTGCCTGTCGGTTTATCGGTATACTTGGACGATTTCTGGTGAATTCGTGTGCAGCGCCGAGCACTGTCCATTCAGGTACTGCTCCTTTGGGCGATCTACTGCAGCTACCAATGGTGGCAGGGGCTGGTAGTCTACATCGCACGGACCTTATCCAATCGGCGGATAGATTTGTCCAGGAAGGTGCTCAGTTCCCGCAGGTGCCCTACATCAAAACCCTCACTCTGCACTTCCTTCTTTCACAAGCCGACTGCGAACTGTGGGTCTCATCCCGCAAGTCCGAGTTCTGTGAGCCTAGGCGTATGCCCTAGACCGAGGATGGTGCTCCCGTTCTCGGCAAACCTCGGCAGACACCGCATCTTCCCGCCCCTGCACGCAAGGCACCCAAGGAGCGACAGCAGGGGCTTGGAGGTTTGGAGGTTTGGGGGATTGCAGTCTAGGGGTTCAGCCCGCAAGCAGGAGGATCATAGCTTTGAGGTAGCCGCAAGAACAGGGGGAGATTCCGGAAGCCTTGTTTGTCAGACCGGTTATGCTCACGTGGTTTCTCGGGCCACGATTAGATCAACACCCATACATTAACAAGCACTGTTTTTGGACACTTGAGGCTGCGGTTCCACTCCCTACCTGATTACCTGATTACGTCTTGCAGGTTACAGGCTCGTCGAGGATTGACATGGGCAGCTGACATCCTACGGAACAGTCAGTCTGCAAGCAGAAGCCCAGGGGAAGAGCTGCTGTGTAAACGGCCAACGCAAGATGCAAGGGTCCTGGCAGACACTATATGAGCGTAGCGCACTACAAAAAACTCATTCAACATCTGGTTGCGATTCGGTCCTTTGTGTCACACCTATAGCTGACCTGCTTTTGGAAGGACCATTCAACCAATTCAACCCAGACGCCCCAGCGACGAGGATCCGCAAGTTTGGGTCGGGAGGTTCGGATTCGGTTTTGTGTGCAGTTGCGGTCTTGCCCAGATCCTGTTCTGGTTAGCTTTTGGCTATCCTAATCTTTCTCTTGTGTGAAGGAAAGAGGTAACACTGGCTATCCAAGAAAGTGTACTACAGCACAGGTTCTAGAAAGACGGTGGGCGATCGTTGAGGTCATAACGGCCGTATTACCGCTTATTCACGTCTGATCCCGACCCGAGCCTGCGGGTTTGGGGCCCCGCTGGGTCAGGACGCCGGGAGGAGAAGCGCCCACTGTCCGAAGGCTTTCGGACCCCTCGTTCTGAGAGTGTGGAGGCTCGCTTCAGGCTAATTTAATGCGGCTGACGGTTTACGGTTAAGGGTTCACAAGTGCAGGGTTCATGGTTTCGTTTCTGATTGTTGCGTTGCTCGAAATCCCATTGACTACGACATAGGCGATGCTGCTGTGACTAGCGCAGTTCATGGTTTGAGTGGTGCATGGCGGTACAGCAGTAGCAGCCGTAGCAGAAGTAGCAGTAGAAGGGGTAGTAAAAAGTATTAGTCGTCGTAGTCGTGATGGTGGTGGTAGTAGTAGTAGCTGCAGTAGCAGTAGCAGCAGCAGCAG